AATTCTTGCGCGTGTCAACGGCCCCAGCGTCAAGACAGCGATGTAAGCGCTGCGATAAGTGGTTCGGGTGGGACGAACACTGCAACGCGGTCGCTTACGGCAGCTGTGCCGTCTGGAGACCACGTGCACTAAGATGTGCAGTGATTACTACAGGTGCTTCAGCAATTCTTTTTAAAGTTTTTTTTTTTCGTTGTCAGCAATTCGTTATCGTCGTTTACCGAGAACTACCACGTACCGAGCTTTCCGGCCCCAGTTAAGTTTGCGACGGCCAGTACGCCCAGAACAGCCCCGCCACGGTGGTCTAGTGACTAAGGTACTCGGCTGCTGACCTGCAGGTCGCGGGATCAAATCCCGGCTGTGGCGGCTGCATTTTTGATGGAGGTGGAAATGTTGTAGGCCCGTGTATACTCAGATTTGGGTGCACGTTAAAGAACCCCAGGTGGTCCAAATTTCCGGAGCCCTCCACTACGGCGTCTCTCATAATCATGTAGTGGTTTCGGGACGTTAAACCCCACAAATCAATCAAATCAGTACGCCCAGAACAAGCTCGAATTTATTATGAACTCTCAAGAGTAAAACCCCGCCAGTAGATGGCTTTGGGCAACCACATGTGAAACACATACTTACATGAGCCATACGTTACATGAATAATTCGGCTGATAATCCACACCTGCAGCTCTGAACTACAACTGCATACCATTACACCGACAGTTGCGAACTACAGCTGACTCTAGGGGTGGTTCAAAACGAGGAATAAATGGAAGCTTGTGTGCCTGAATTATTTGTAATTCATACGCATGCAAATCTGCCTCAGATGTCTCAAAAGACCCAAAAAGGGACCGATGGTTGCAGTAATTAAACATATCTTGAAGAGGCAGTCACCAGGTACTTGAACTGAAACATGCATTTCTCTGGAAAGAATTGCCTTTGTTCAAGTAACATTCACAATAGAATGAATGTTTCCTACATATTTTGGACAAAGTTACGCAACCATAGTATTTCCGCTAGAAAGCTTTTCAATTCGTAGCAAGTTGACTGGGCTTATCAAAAGAACGCGCATATCATCTGCACTGAATGGTCATTTATTAAGGCGGAAGCCCTAAATCCCACATAAAACGCGAAAAGTGACTGTTGGTATCAACACGAGTGATCCGAAAAATCATCACAATGTGACGGCTCACACTTTGTCATTATCACGATGTCACAAGCTGCAATATTGGGATGTCATCGTCACATCACAAAATGTGGCGTGACATGATGGCACTATTTGCATGACATCATTCCTCGAACAATAAAGGGATGATCCTGGAGGCCTTTCAAAATACGTGGTGTGCAAAGACCAGCGATCTCTTAGGCCATCGATCTCTGAGCGCGTGCAAAGCCACTTTGGGCGGAGAAACCTTACTTCCGGTAAGGATTAGTACAATTGACTGAGAAGAACATCACGAAGATTGATAATTTATCAATTCTGAGGCAGCTACATAGCAGAACACGTGACGTTTCTTAAGCGCACTACAAAAAATAAACACTGCGGTAATCCTGTCTTATGGAGAAATTCGGGACCAATAATCGCAAGAGCTGGCTAACGAATAATTATGAATAATCACGGTTAAGCGAAAAACACTGCACGTGATTTCGAGATAAAGTACCACGAGTTTAAGACGAAACCTTCTTCTGTCTGCCCTCGAAGGCTCCCACTTCAGATAACAATCGGTGCGTGACGTCCACGAGATCGAACGACAAGTATCGGAGGGGAGATAAGAGCGTTTCACATGTTTGCAGAGGGAAGACGATGACCAGACAAGCGTGGTTTTAAGAAGGTGCGAGTATCTTCTCTCTGAAATCGTCTCAAGGTGGGTCGGTACGGTTTTTTTTCTCTCTCTACCTAGAATAAGCATGCAAATCTACAGAATTGCGCATAACTATTCTATTGACGCTGCTAGGAAGGTCACCTTACAATTTCGCGTTGCAGATGCCGTCAGCGTCACTTTAGAGCCCTTGACTCCACAGTACGTGCACCTATAGTTAACACCTTAAGAACTCGCAAAAATGCCGTGTCCGTATACACCTAACATAAACCACGATAAACGATCGTTAACCCGCACTACAGCGATGTTGTGTTAGCTATGTTAACTAACGAGCTTGTCAAGGAAGAGGTCCATCCTCTGCTCAATACAAATCGTGCACCAAGACCGTTATGCCAGATATGCGAATGGTATAGGGTGTGATTTCCGTTTCATTTCGCCTGTCGAGCGCGGTCTCCAGCAGGTGTGCAATGGAGGTAGAGCCCTATGGAAGACTACCGGACACGGGAATGACAGCAAGTGTTTCTTCCAGGAAGCGCTACAGCTCCGAGAGTGGCACTGACAGTGATGACACCGAACCCTACAACGTCAGCAGTGATGAATCAGGGGACGACAGCTTCCAGCTCGTCAGAAACCACAAAGGAAAGAGACGATTTCTGAGCACTGCCACCTAATACGAGTGAGCCCACCATGCGATCTTCGCGGAATACCGAGGTATTAACCATCCTCTTCATGCCAGTTCTCGCGACTGACAGCATGAGACGCCTTAACCGGCAAGCCGTGTCTGCACAGCTTGTGGCACTGGTGCCAAATGTAGTGCATGAAGTAGAGTGAAAAGCCGCAACAACATCCTAGCGGTTCACGTCAATCATGTGACTGCGCTTGACAGATTGCGTGAAGTAGCGGAACTTAATAGGATGAAAGTCCACTCTCATATACCACTGGGCAAAGGAGTGAGCACTGGGGTGATATATTATGTTGCCGAAGCCATTACAAACTTGGACCTACCAGCCTTGATTAGGCCGGCTTCAGAAGTTGCCATTAGTACAAGTATATGTCGTATCAGCACACCACGATGCATAAGAATTACATTTAAGGGCGAATCACATCCATCACACGTAAAAGTGGGCCACTTCGGACACGCAGTTCGCCCTTTTATACCAAAAATACTTCAGTGCTGGAAGTGCATGAAGTTATGTCACGTAAGTGGTGTGTGCACGAACGCTACTATCTGTTCCCGTTGCACTGGGCACCACAACAAGGACACGTGCCAGGCCGCGACTCCGAAGTGGTCAAACTGCAATGAGCCACATGATGCCTCTTCGAAGGACTGTCCCTTTATTCTAAAAGAGCTAACAATATTGAAGAAGAGGGCCAGAGATGACATCTCATACCGAGAAGCTGCTGCATCCATTACGCAACGACGGTCCCGTCGCTGGCGCTGCACCTAAGGCACCAAAACCTCGTCCCCTCACGAAGCACGTCCAAAACCACTTCCACCTCCCCCACTCTAGCCAAGTGCTGTCGGTTCCAAGAACAAAGGTGCTTCTGCTAGCAGTGGAGCTGACGCTTTATCCTCATTACCCAGTCAGAACGCAGCCGTTTTAAAGGAAAATGCTGCCTCTGCCAGGAGTGCCCGAACTCCCCAAAATACATGCGCCTGATGAGAGGCATCAGACTTCGACAGTGAGGGACACTTCATCGGTACCTCATAACTTGACGGATGAAGGACAACTTATCGGCATGATTAGTACTTTGATCAGAGCTATGCGAGTGATGCTGAGCAAGATGCAGACACCGACAGCTCAAAGCTTGTTGCAACTGCTTGATACCATCACTCCTGTTCTCGCAAGCCTTCAGAAGTCTGCTGCTTGAGAACGCAAGCGGTACCATCATGGCTTCACCATAGGCAAGATCTTGGATGCATGGAACCACGCATACAAGTTAATGCGACGAATGTGCTCAATTGATTAAGACACGAGTGTGACTCACCATCTGTGATGTTAAATACATAACTGCCATTTTGTCGACGGTATGAGTGACATTTCTTTCCTTCTCTCTCTCTAACTTTTATTCCCCTTGCCCTCTCCCCAGTGCAAGGTAGCCTACCAGACTCAGCCACGGTTAACCTCCCTGCCTTCATTTCATCCTTATTCTCTCTCTTTCTCATTTTCCTAGTGTTCCCGCATGTGTCGAACACACACAAACACACACACACACACAGACACACACACACACACACACACACACACACACACACACACACACACACACACACACACACACACAAACAAACAAACAAAAGGTTTACATAATAAATATCTGCGCGCATATGCTCATGTGTATGGTATGCATGTGCACGTGCGCATAATGTATTTCTGTAATTATTTCTTAGTGTATAAGTGAATATCTCTGTATTTCTCTGTGTGTGAAAAATGGTTTTTTTGTTCACTTGAAATTGCATTCAGTTGCCGTCATTTTACTGTTTTCAGGCGTTGCCTCTCGCGATGCATTTCTGTGAACTGCGTGAGGGGGCAGAAGCTTCGGTAATCTGTACATCAGGCTTTAGTCGTACGTGTCTCCCCATTAAAACTGAAAATGCCATTGCTGGGGATTTATTTATTTATTTATTTACTTATTACTTATTTATTGATGAACTCAAGTTGACTGACGAAATGGAAATATTAAAGTACGTTGCCACAATCGTTTAGGGGGACACATTGAATTTATAACACGTGGATTTGCTGACTTCACAGACACTTTTTATTACGTCATGCTATCGAAACCTGTCAGATCGGTTTAATGAAGACGCGCCTCCCTGTTCTTAGGAAGAGCCTTCATTTGTGAACGAAGCAGATTTTTTTTTGTGCTTGTTTGATTGCACCATATATACCACCAGAAGATCTTGCTCGATTCATTTATGTGAATTTGAGAACACCTGACTACATTTGGAGCGTTGGTTGCTACAAAAGTAGTGAGTCTCACATGAAGTTTTGGGCGAGATGTCGCAGATTGAACGTGTTCGGAACCGGGATTTATAGTTCAGTTTTACGAATTTACAGCTTTTGTAACATTCGCATATTTTATGACCACTGTGTAAAAGCAAATGCTGCTGACAATGGATGACGATGCGGGTGATTATCATCAATATCTCAGTGCTTTTCAACACCAAATTACCTCACCTTTTTCTTCCAGATGTCCTGTGATATGAAAACCATCATCTTGGTCCGGGTAACCTGCACGCTTTTGCTGACGTCCGCTCCCGCCTACAGCACAGGTTCGTGTTTTGTAGTTAACAGGTCACGGAAATTTCGAAATCAAGCTCAACTTAACTGCTTCAATATTTATTACGAGATCAGCGACAGCATTAATTCATATTAAAACTTTTATATAAATGCTGATTGATTGATATGCGGCGTTTAACGTCCCAAAACCACCTTATGAATATGAGAGACGCCATATAGTGGAGGGCTCAGGAAATTTCAACGACATGGGGTTTTGAACGTGTGCCCAAATCTGAGCACGTGGGCCTACAGCATTCTTGCCTTCATCGAAATTGTAGCCAACGCAGCCGGAATTCGATCCCACGACCTACGCGTCAGCAGCCCAGTCCCTTAGCCACTAACCACCACGGAGGGGCGTTAATTAAATGTTGTTGAAGGTAGCATGACCGTTCGCCTCGCTGTTGAAGATCAATAAAATACTCTTCTGAATGACTAAAAAAGTTCTGATACATCTTGTATTACGTATGCATGTTTAATTCCCCACAAATCAGACATGCTGTCGTTTAACATGTTATAAATATCGACCGAGGGGATTTGTAAGAGCATACTTGTTCAGTGTTGCACGAAGGTGAAACACTACCAAGCATCCTCATTGGAGAAAAAAAAAGCTACAAAAAATGATATTGCCAAGTAAGTTATCTATGGGGAGATTATCATGCAAAACCTTGCAGGGTCCTTCACGCCTTCCCCTAGGACAGCTTGAATGAGAAGGCCATGCTATTTTTCTTTCCAGTCAATAATATCATCCCACCCGCCACCCACCAAAAGCGTTCAGCACCTAACGCAGGTTCACGGTGTTTACAAGACAAAAGTGTTTCATCTCTTTTTACATTGCCTCCGTGATCAGCACAGGTTTGACCAAGTTATTTTATGTGATGACATCCCTGGTATCGTCCCTGTGATAATCATTGTTTTTGTCGTCATGCAACAGTGCCACTGTGACGTCACTGTCATTGCCTCACATGACGTCCCAGACGACGTCATTATACGTCACAATATCTAGTCACGTGTGACCTCATGACGCCGGTATAGGTGACGTCATCCCACGATGAATACTTTTTATTATAACTCCTCCCATACGCCGTGGGTACGCCGACAGTCAATAGTCGCATTGGATAAGGCATCTAAGACCTTCGCCTTAGTATTCATTTGTCATAATTTACTCGTTGTATTCGGTTATTTAGTTTAATAGGAATGTGTTTCCTATCTCTTGCACCCGAATTTCAGGTTTCAAACGAACGCGGTGTGTATCTGACCGTGTCTTCGTACGAGGGGCCACGCCGATTGCCTGGGCACTTCGAAGTCAACTGGTACGGCGTGGACGTCGACCACCTCAACAGGACGTTCGCCGCTCTGCTCTTGGAAGCGCCGAACTCCCACAACTGGAAGAACGCGCAACTGTACCCCGTCAAACAAAGCACGGGTCGAGTGACGACTCAGCGTCAAGTTCCCAAAGAACAGCACGCAACTCGCCATGACCGGAAACTGCCTGGACTACTGGGCTGTCCTACTAGAAGTCGACGACGTCTCCGGCGACAACGCCGCTGTCGTGGATTCCTCGTGCTTTCGCGGCCATCCTAGGTGGATGCAGGAGAACTGCTGCCACTTTTACAATCTCAAAGTGGACGAGATGTTCATTCCGGGAACCCATGATTCTGCCATGTACGGCTTGAAACGAGACTGGCCCGTCGGTGACTTTATCTTCACCCAGGACCAGACGATCGCCCACCAGCTTGCCTTCGGCATCAGGTCCCTGGACTTGAGAGTTGGTTTCACTGACGGGGCATTCTGGATATTTCACAACAAGTTCAAGGCTCAGGTGTCGCTAGAGACAGTGCTGAGGCAGGTCAGGACCTTCGTCGAAACGACGGGAGAAGTTGTGATACTCGATTTCCACAGGTTTACGCTCGGTTTCAACCGTCACGTCGACCCAGTAGAAGAACGCCACCGAACGCTCGTCCAGCTGATAATGGACACTCTCACCGGAGCCGTCGGCACAGGCAGCTGTTCAACAGCACGCTGGAAGACTTACTCGGTGGCTGCGGTGCACGGTCGAGGTGGCGTAGGCCGACGGTGTTCATCATGTACAACTACGACTACATGGGTCCCAATTCCGAGTTCCTCTGTCCGGGAGTGATTCAGAATTGGGCGAACGCGCAAGACCTCGAATACCTCGTAGAGTACCTGGAAAAGAACGCCTGCAAGAAGTTTCCCGGAACCCTGTCCTCCGCGCAAGCTGAGCTGACGGCCAAGTTTCCGTCTCAAATGGATACGATACGCCAGCTCGCGGAGATCGTCAATTTCAACGTGACGAACTTGTTCAGAGAGCACTTTTGGAACTGCACGAACATAGTGACGAACGATTACTTCCTGGGCAGCGGCACTGTTGAACTGGCCATTGAAGCTAACAAGTATAGGGGAAAGTTAAAAGGAGGACTCGGCAGATGCGAGCACGGGTTGCAGCGAGGATTATCGACAAATAGGTTACGACTAGAGACGGCATTCGCCAAACGCTAAGTGAAGAGCGTGGTGATCTCATGCTGTGGAAAAACGCTGGTGTGTGTTATCGTGTAATGTAACAGGAACAAAAGAACACTTCTTTTCGAACTTGTAAAAAGGCAGTATTTTTCTAAATGATTTATTTTACGTTGCATGGGGGCGTGACCAAATTTCACGTGAAAAAACTGCATGCGCTAAACGAACCCCTACAATGTTTTTTTTTTTGCAGAAAAGGGCTGAAAATTGTGAATTAACGTTCGCAAGTAAAATTATGCACCTTTTTCATACGTGACAATGCAAGTGTGATGTTTAATTGTTCCTAGTTGCTCCAAGAATAGTTTCTATAACCTTACAGTCAAAGAAAACGAACACTTACGAAGATCATAAATATGCAACAAGTTCAAGATTACGTTGAAGAGAGAAAGTTAAGATGAAGTTCCTCGTTGAGTGGCCTGATTGCACGTTTGAGTTTGAGTTTGAGTTTATTCAACCACGTGACAAGTACACGAAAATACACTGTATACGTTGTTTGGTGCGAAGGGGAAAAAGCTGCATTTTACAGCTTGACTGGCCCCTTCACCCAGAAAAAAAAAAGATCTAAACTACAAATTTACAAAAAGTTACAAAAATTACAGGCAGCGGAAAGCGACAATACAAAGAGAAACACGCATGTGGCCCATGACAGCAAATTCAACCAAGAAAGAATATTTTTTTTCTTTCAAATTCAGTACCTTGTGTTTTAACAAGAAATGCAGAGTTCTTTGCAGCCACACATCACATTCAAGTTTATTGCAATACAACTTATTCGTGTCTTTTACGTTATTGCAGTAATACAAGTAGCAAACGTCACACATTGCGTCTACGTTGGAGACCATTTTACGAAGGGGTTCCAGTGCGGTCATGCTGGGCAGTAAACTTTTCTGCTGTGCATCTTTAACAACTAAACGGACAGTGTTGCGTAAGCACATACACATAAAAACGGTCGAGTTGATGCATACGATGTTTCTTTACCTTGATTTACATCACAAAATGGAAAAACAAGCAAACATCGAATTAATAGCCTAAGATGGCGGCGACCATATGTTTTAAGGTAAATTAGTCTATATATACTTTACTGTTCAGACCAAGGTGGTTTAGAAAAAAAATTTAAGTTCCTTGTTTCGGAATGACAGGACAGGACAGAACAAGACAAGACAAGACAGGACAAGACAAGACAAGACAAAACAGGACAGGACAGACAGACAGACAGACAGACAGACAGACAGACAGACAGACTTAAACGTTACTATGGTCCTGAGGAACTACTTTTTGACGCCCCGTTTCAGGGGGACACATCAAACTACAATAGGTATACAGTGCTCCTTAATTAAAACGTGACATGAAAGTAAGTACAATGATTGGTACGCGAAATCGCTCGAGATAACCGTGCTCTGTTGTTAAGAATCTGGCCCTACCGCTAAATATAATGCAATCTTTCTTGCGAGAGTTGAAATTGCGCTGGTGTGATACGAATTGGAGACGGTGGAAACAAACGTACACTCTTTACTTTGCCATTTCCGCATTTTATGTTTGATCACTGTACAATTCTCTAACAAAACTATGTTGGGCCTAGTTGGCACGCAAATAAGTTAAGGTTAAAACTTCCGTGCGAAACTGCGAAGACGTGCTTCTCAAGTACTTGTCTCTTCGATTCTTCGGGGTCCGTCTTAGTCTGTGCGGAAGCTTTCGCCTTAAGTACAGTGCTCAGCAATTCAGACATAATAGCGAGCCCGCATGCATAGTGCTGTGCGAAGCTGACGGCTCATGAAAAATGCAGTTGCAGAGCCGAAATGCGTCTCCCATGTGTTGCAGCCTTACGTTTCACCGGCAAGCAGCCCATCGCACGTAATGCTGCACGCCACTTGTTCAATGAATAATTGCTTCGCTATACGAGGTCATCAAATATATATAAAGGAATTAGGGCTTAGGTGAAATTTGCATTGACTTTACGTGATTACCAACTAAGGCAAGTGATGGATGACGGTATGGATAACATCCAGATATGTTAACACCGATACAGACACCCCGAAGAAATATAGATTTTGTGGAGCACTTTGCGTATTTACTTTTGCCTCTACAAACTGTACGAGCGCAGAAGACACAATGAACGCGCCCTCATTGCAATAATCACATCTAAAGCTGAAAATTATAGTCAATCATAAGTTAAAACAATATTGTTATTGTGGGGGGAATTACAAGCCCATTCATCAAATGTGCTTGTAAAAACCTCCTGCATTCGAAACAAAAGAATGGTAGTGGAACGACACAACCAACAAAACACAGTGTCCCTAATTCAAAGAACACAGAAAACTGTCCACCGAGTGCTAGTGTCCTCTTTGTGCGAACGCAAGGAAGTCGTGCGCGTCGCACCGGTGGCGCGGAAACATCGGCGACCCTTCTTTGCAGCCAAAAGCTTTCGCGAATTCCTGCGTGTTGAGGCAGGGTTGCTTGCAGCGAATCCTGTGCGGCAAGTAGATGCTAAACTCCGAGTACTCCGCCGATGCCTGGCAGAACATGTAGCAGGTGCCGGCAAAGAAAGTCTGGTCCGCCGTGTACTGGCCAGATTCCAGCCTTGCGGTCCGGTTCCGGCAGGGAACTGTAGGCCAAGTGCGCCACTTCGACTCCGGCGCTGTCGGCAAACGCCTCGCTTACGGAGTTGTTTCCGGCGACAGCGCTCTCGGTCAACTTGTTGGCCTGTAGGATGATGCATTCCTGAAGTTCCGCGAGCTTCTGAGCAAATTTAGGCGAGTAAAAGATGTGCTTCTCGCCTTTCGGGCTGACGTCAATGAACTTGGGATCGAATGCGTGGGTCAGTTCATGACCGATGACCTTTCCGATGGCGCCGTAGTTGTACGGGTCTGGGCCATACGGAACCATGAACGGTGGCATAAGTATGCTGCCCGGTAAATAGATTATGTGGTATACTATGACGTAGTAGGCGCCCACCGATATTCCGGACAAATCCCAGTCATCCCTGTTGATTGAGGCCGCCGGACTACCGGGGGTCGGTTGCAAGAAGCGTTTCTTGTGCGCCGCGACCGCGCGCAAAGAACGGACGAACCATTCCACAAACTTTAGCTGTGCTTCATATTTCGGGTATATGACTGTAGTAGGAATTGAGCGCGGCGTTACTTCGGAGTTTAGAGGCCATGCCGATGATTTGGTGGACGGAGCGGAGTCGGTTTATCACGCCTAATGCCGACTCTGGGTCGAACCATGAGAAATTGTACGACAGCTCTAAATGGTGTTGTATCCGGTTAGCGATCGTGATGGTGTAGTTTATGGTTTCGTCGTCCAGGACACTTTGAGTCTGCAACTTGAGCAGGGCGTGGGGTGCGACCAGCTTGACGTAGTTGGTGCATCGTTGGAGTGTTTTCGCGAAAGTGCTCGACCAGTGCACCGTGTCCTCTGGGAAGTGGCAGCTGGACATCTTGCTTGACGCAGCGTAAGAGAGGTACTTGATGACTTTCCAGGCTATGTAAGTCTGAAGCTCTAAGCTACTGGTGGAATAGGCCCTCAGCACATCAAAGGTCAGAAGTAAGGCATAAGGGTGCCTCAGGAGGAAGTCGGATTCAAAGTCATGGCTGCATCTTTAGGTATGTGTTCATTGATTTCATCCACCCACCACTGCGCCTTCATGCCGGTATCCTGCTGAATCCTACTGCCATAAATATCGTCAATGTCTGAGAACTTGCGGTACTGTGGCTGCTCATTGTCACTGGTGTGCATCATTGTGATGGTCTTGACGTCGGTCTCCACGTTGTGAAGCCTCTCTGCCAAGTCTTGAACGTCTTGTAGATTAGGCTCATAGGCAAGGATGCACCTTTCCAGGACCTCCACCTCCGACACGTACCTATACATGGTCTCGGCGTACTTGAGCTCGAAGACTAGCCTGTCGTGCTCTTTCAAGTAGGGCGTCAGCTTGAGTTGGAAGAAAACACCCAAGAGGTCTTGTAGGGTGAGCGCGACGAGGATTCCAAACACTTGGTGCGTAGAGCGGACTTCTTGGGATGGAAACGTTAATCCGCGTTGCCGTAGCACGTCGCGAATAGTTTGCCTGTGATCGATACCGGCTTCCGGAACGCTCATGCACGCAGTTATAGCGGCGGCCACCTTGTCGACGGCGCTGTTGGAATCGGCAGTTACACGTTCGACGTGCTCGAGGAGAGACACTCGCAGCCTGTTGTTGAGGATCTCGAACAGGTCTTGCTGCTCGGGGTACATGCTGGTCCAGCGGCCGCAGACGTGCTCGAACAAGTCGTCGCAGGGGTCGACGTCGACATCTCTGCTTCCGTGCAGCTCGCTGGCCAGGTCGAAACAGCGCACGGGATCGTCGCAGTGCGGGAAGTAGGCGCTCGCGGCGAACGTGATAAAGAACAGCGCCGTGGAGAATCCGATTGTGCAGGCCGCCATGTGGACCGAATACTCGAGCGAGCCTTCTTCGTCGTCGGCGAAAATACCAAAGAAGAGGCGCTGTTTATTTTCGGCCAACTTGCTCTGCTCAGTGAATTTGGCGTCCGTTGTCTGGTGAAGCGTTGTAGACTCTGGGGTTGGAGACAAGGGTGTCTGACCCCTGTTGCCTTGCGGGGATCGCCCTGTCGCCCGAGAAGGAGGTTCTAGTTTTGCCACCCGGACGTCCTGCCGTGGTCGCACGGGAGTTCTAGGTGACAGGACGTTCGGCCGCCGTGCCCTGGTGGCGGTCGCCGGTGACCATGGTGTGCTGGCTCCACTTGGGAGCTTCGGGTTCCAGGTCCGGGCCTGAGGAGATAGTGGACGCGAGAGAGGCGAGAAAGCTCTCGGATCTCTTGCCGGGGTGCGTCCTTTCGCTGAGTCCTTCATATCTTGAAGCAGGCTGGCTGGATCCTTGCGGCCTGTACGGCTGCTGTCTTCTTCTTGTCGGATAAGCGGAGTGTACCCACGAGCCGCTCGAGGCCCGCTTGCTTGCGCCTGATTGGTTCGCTAGCTCGTTTCTACAAGAATGGCTTGACCCACCACTGGGGAACGGCCATGTATCATGTGGCCGTAAGACGTGAGAAAAGAAAGAAGCTGAAAAAGTAGATTGTAGTGAAGCGAAAACATGAGCGATGTTTTGAAAAGGAACAGACGTGCAAAATTTTAACTGGTCCCTTGGACATAACACCAACAGGATATGCCCAACATAAAGATTAACGCCCATGCAGAGGGTCAGGCTCAGTCACCAGTATCATCATCGTCAGACGAAGCAATAGAAGAAGAAAGCCTCTCGGCCTGTCTTGCTCATTAAGGGAAGATTGGCGTGCCCAAAGTGGCAAAACACAGAAGAATGCCAATGGCAGGACTCACTGACGCCGACAGAAGTCAATCCATGGACTCGGTACCCGGTCATCCTAGTCAATCTGGGCATCTTTGTTATCGCCACTGTGTTCGTCTGCATGTGTGTAAGCTCATAGCCCAGTTTTACTCGATCTTTCTTCATTTTGGTTCAGTTCGGTATACCATAAGTTTTTTCGTTTTTTAAGTGTTTAGAACAAATGTTCGACGATTCGGGATACGATGTATTTTAGGCGAGAGCTTTCAGCGGTCCCGGCACTATCTATCTATTAGACAACAGCGGTGTAACGGTCTTACGCGAAAATCTATGCATTGGCGAATCTACGGGCATGCAACCCAAAAAGGTGCGCTGGTCGCATGTGTATTCGTATACGGCGTTTCCTAATAATTTATGCTTTCGTGATAGTGGGATTGTCAGCGATCAGTGATTTTTGATTTGGTAGTCTTATCTCTTATGAGGTTACTTGTCATTTTTTATTGGTATATTTCATTGTTGCCTGAAGGTGAATTCACGGCCTTTGTAGTTGCCGGCAGCCACTGAAGCATTGCGTTAACTAAGCTCGTTGATGAATGAAGATCAAATGAGAAAAAAAAACATGGTGTTGTTGAAATGCAAGTGTTGGGTATTGCGATAAAAAAGAAAAAAGAAAGAAAGAAAGAAAGAAAGGAAGAAGGAGAGAGGAAAGAAAGAAAGAAGGGTAATACGTCCAGTCCGCAGACGCGCAAAGCTTTATCTTCCACTTTTCCGATAAGCCAAGAGGTGTTTCTTTTTTTCCAAATAGGGTAAAGCTTGTTCTGAACGCGGTTGAATTTATTTGGCGGGTAATGCCGACAATAACTACAGTCCTTGTTCTACTAAGACTGAACATTACCTTCAGTCGAGCGAATCAAATCTAGCGAACCTTTCACCTATGCACTCGGGGCTGCTTCCGTTGTTTCGTCGTGCAGGTGTACTCCATTTACCTGCGATGGGACGACGTGTCGGTGGGCCGCGGCACGCCGCTGGTCAGCCTCGTGGTCAACGTCGACGTGCCGCTGCTGGCGTTTGTCGCGTACCTGAGCTTCGTTGCCTTGCTCGGCTTCCTGGGAGCCCTTAGGGAGAACATCTGCTGCCTCTACTGCTACGACTGGATGCTCTTCGTCATGATGTGCACCTGCAGCGTGGGTTTCGTCCTGCTCATCATCATGCCGTTCCTCGCCACCCAGGGTGCGTTGCTTGAATTTGCGATGCGAAGTCGACGCGAACAGTAATAAGTCATCCCCATCATGTGATGACGTGATCACGTGACGTCGCGGACATTGAAATTTCTCACCTCATTGTGACGTCACCATGTCATCACTTAAAGGTCAACTAACGTGACATCAAACTATGGCTTTATTCTATAATATTGTTACCTAATTAGTCAAGGGAGAAGGGCAATGCTGCATGGAAGCACGATAACCATGTAATGTGCGGAATCATTTCGGAGGGAGGAGAATAAAGAAAAAAAGAATCGGTGACTGATATGTTTGCATTAAACAAAAAGTGTTAATGTTGATCTCTCAAATCTATACACAACAAGAACTAGCTTCTATTAGAGTACCAAAAAACAATGTAGGAGTTTCATGCAGACGCATTGAAAAGACATGTTCAAGGACAAAGGAGAAAAGGATAAAGCAAATAAAAAAGAGCATGGCGTGCGCCTTCAAGTCGTCTTAGTTGAATGCACAAGTTACTTCGTAGCTTTTTATAGATATGGCGAATTCACTATATAGATCATAGTGAATATACTGTTGCTATGATAGCTACACCATTCTCGAACATGAGATACGTTCTCTAGGATAAGAAAATGGCACCTTACTTTTCATCGTAACATCACCACGCCTGGAGCTTCTTTTCAATGTTCCTTATCGCAGGACCTGCAGAGTGTCGTTAGCATTGAACTGATCGAGCGCTACCGAGACAACGCAGACTTTACGCGGCTCGTCGACTATATTCAGGTAAGCAGCGAACCAACGAACTAATACGGGCATATCGATTTCTCGACTTACACCTATCACACGGACCCGCTATGGTGGTCTAATGTCTAAGGCACTCGCATGTTGAGCTCGCACATCGCGGGATCGAATCCTTGCAGTGGCAGCCGCATTTATGATGGAGTCGAAAATGCTGTATAGACCCGTGTGTTTAGTTAGATTTAGGTGCACGTTAAAGAACCCCAGGTGGTGCACGCGCAGTCGTAGCGCAGTGCCAGTGAAATGTCACATTGTCATGTTTGCCGCGGTGCTTGTATACCCATTCGACTGTTTAGTTTATTTTTATCATTTTTATGGGGCTGCGAACTAGCCCAGCTGCTTTAAACGCAGCTTTTTTTAGTCCTTTTTGTATCACAGAATGAAAAATGGACTTCACTAGGAATGAGTTGAAAATCAAATGATAACGTGGCACTAAACTGACCACAACATGAAGTTATCGCGCTTGCAGAGAACGCTGTGACAAATTTTGACTGAAAATGAAGAAATAAAAGCAAATTTATTAGAACTTTGAAATATTTAGGAAAGAAGTGTGACTTCATCGCCCCACTTATCGCTATACCTATTAGCAAAAAAAAAAAAAACGTTTAAAGAGAGGCACTACAGGTTTGACGTCCACGACACAGTCATGTATAATTACTCAACACTATCGTCACACAGAGGTTTCGTACCTATTGGAGGGTATTTTAGAAATCATCAACCGAAGCTTTTGGCGTATACACTCTGGTAAGACAGCTAAAAAAATTTAAGGACCAAGGAAAAATACAATGACAAAATCACCATTTACTGTTTTCTCCACTCGTATTTCCTCTTCTGTTATAACTGCAATGAGTGCCGTTAAACTCGCCAAGGTAGTATAGCGCAGCTATAGTGGGTAAGGGAGGTGTTAGAAGGGGGGTTTCACCCAACCACTTCAAAATTCCATGTTTTGGGTGTGCAGAGTACTGATGAGTTGAAAAGCGACTTCAGATTTTTTAGGCATAACGGGAGGTATGCACATTTTCTCAAAATAACCACATCATGACACGGCGAATCTGGTCACTAAGTATTTTTTGTTTTCATCCACATGATTTTTGAGGCGAAATTGCACTGGTATATGACCCATACTGAAGACGGTGTAAACGAATGTATTTGAGACGGGTCTGCTGGCACCCATAAATGCTTACTTAGGCCTAAAATGTCCTGCTTGAATCAATGCGGACCGGTTGTTGATATAAAGACGCCTATTTCTATTTCGCAAGTTCACGAAACACACACGCAACCCTGAAGTATGGACGGTGCCTTGGTCCCGGAACAACTACCGCCTGCAATCACCAGCTCATAATATTCCAGCCATACTCAAAGGGTACAAACTCGCAGCCGCATTAAATACAAAAAACATCTGCGCGACCACTTCTTAACTTTACAATAACGCATTACCCTTCATTCTTGTACGAAGTGTCATTGTTACATTTTATGTGTACGTGTAATGTATGCTGATCTGTATGTATAATGCTTTCGATGTGAATGCCAAACAGTTGTTGACACGTTTCATATATATATATGCTATTGCCATGTAAGGGACCCTGGGTCTTCGTCAAGCTGCTGTGACAGCATTTTGCCCAGGTGACCCTCCAGATTGTTTTCTGGTAAATAAAATTGAATTGAATTGAATTGAATTGTGGTCCCGTTAGGCTGCACTGGAATGTCGAGTGTCCCCTTTGACGCAACGTGCAGCTCCAGTACAAGTGCTGCGGCGTTACCGAGGCCGCGTACCTGGACTGGAACAGCAACATCTACTTCAACTGCTCGAAGACGAACCCGAGCGCCGAGCGCTGCTCAGTGCCTCCATCTTGCTGCCGGGAACCCGAGAAGCAGAACTTGGAGTCGGTGCTCCAGCGCCGCTTCTGCGGCCGCAACGTGCTTTCCATGGGCGAAACTGAGGCCTGGTCTAAGGTTGGTGGGAGCGTTTAGGTTTGCCCGCTCTTGTATGTCCGGGTGTAGGTTCGTCATCATTATCTCAGCTTGTTTTAGTCGACTGCAGAACGCATGACGATAGTTATAGCGCGAGAACAGAACGACGACACAGAGACAAGAAGGACACGAAGGACTCTGTATCGTCGTTCTGTTCTCGCGCTATAACTGTCGTCATGTCATACCAACTAGCCCAAGCTGCCACACTTATATGCAGAACGCAGGCATCTCTCAGTAATGTCCACATTACCCTATACACTGTGCAAGCTCAGTACATTATAAACCCGTGAACCTCTTCATTCCATCAGTTCATCTAACTCTCTGCCTTCACCGACTACGTTTATCATTCCTTGGAAACCATACTGTTTTTCTTACTCCACACCGGTTCTCTGTCCTACACATTACGTGACCACCACAGATTACTCCCCACCGGCTCTCTGTCTAGCACTTGTCCATTTATTTCGCTTCTTCTCAACTATAGGATATCCGCGACTGCTGTTTGTTGCTTGACCAAGCCTGTCATTCTCAGATCTTGCCCCGCCGCAGTGGTCTAGTGGCTAAGGTAATCGGCTGCGGACCCGCAGGTCGCGGGTTCAAATTCCGGCTGTGGTGGCTGCATTTCCGATGGAGACGGAAATGTCGTAGGCCCGTGTGCTCAGATTTGGGTGCACGTTAAAGAACTCCAGGTGGTCAAAATTTGCGGAACCCTCCACTACGGCGTCTCTCATAAACATGTGGGGGTCTTGCGACGTTAAACCCCACATACCGATCAATCAATCAATCTATCTATCTATCAATCAATCAATCAAATCATTCTGTTTCTCTTACTCCCCACCGGTTCTGTGCCCTACACATTTCGCGGCCAGCACAGGTCAACACTATACCGCGGTAATGGAAAACAAGAAGAAAGGTGCGCCGTTCAAAATTTGTGTGGCCTTCACCAATTGTGTACACATCATTCCTTAGATCATTTTCGACGCAGTAATATAATGTCGTGCGGAAACTCTTACTATGATTTAGAATGAACTAGTGGCTGTCACTTATCACTATTAATCTGGTTCGCTAATTACATACGCGCCGTGTATTTAGGAGTACCTATAGAATCGTCGACATCTAATAAGTTTACGGGCAATTAATCAGAGCTATTTATGACGTTAATGCAGCCCTTATAATTAAGAAATGAAAACGTACGCCACCGGTTCTCCGTCTAGCACTTGTCCATTTATTCTGCTTGTTCTCAACTAGGATATCCGGGACTGCTGTTTGTTTCCTGACCAAGTCTGTCATTGTCCGTTCTTTCAATAACTCTAAAAAAATGGAAAAAAGGGTGTCTTTTTGTCCCACAACAATAATCATCATTTGGCTTGTCTCACGTTTCCTTTCTTAGAAACTCGGCGCTGGCCACTTCTCTATCAGGGTAGCTACGTCACGCTCATAACGCGCATTCCGGTCATCACCTGAAAGTAGCGGGCGTGGGGCGACAGTGAAAGGAAAAGAGCGCAAAATATGACGATTATTGTTGCGGGACAAAAAGACGCCCTTTTTATTTCATCTCTTCTTTGAGTAATGTTACTCTTATATTTTTTGTGCTCCTACATGCTGCTGAGTCCTTAACTTTTTCTCTCTTTTTTTGCCTCATTATCATTTATGTCTTAGCCACATATGCTACAGCTAGCCATATGCAGTATTGCAGAGAAAAGTTTTTTTTTTGCTTTCTGCTTTGGAGGTGCCCATTTTTTCAACGTCATATCCGTGACAAAAATACGTCACTAAAATCTTGGTGAGCCCCGGCATAAAACACTTTAGTGTTAGAAATTAGAGGAGACCCCAGTTTTCGGTTTAGGTGTCTGGCAACGGCTGTCGCCCCTCGTACTTTTTGGGCCGTGGTGTATTCCGCGTGTGAACACCGTGTTCAACAGAAGCGAATCTCTGAGGCCACAAAGAGAAAAGCACGTGTATGACATTTGCTCCACCAGATGCTGCGAATGATCTCAGGTGCTCACAGAAAAAAAAACAGTTACTGTTTCATTGAATTAATTCAGTTGCTCTTCATTCTTAACCTGACAATGTACCCTTACCTTAAGTACACTTACGGCCAGATATCGAATGTATCCAATTATCTCTCTTCCTCGTTTTTTTTGCATGACTTCTCCAAGCACAGTAAGAGTTCGGGGAAACACGTTTCAAGGGGTCATCAAAAACATTCGTATTGTCTGAAATGCATATCACGAACATGGAAAATTAAGATTTGGCAGAAAGAGAACTGGCGTACGTTTTCATTTCTTAATTATAAGGGCCGCATTAACGTCATGAATAGCTCTGAATAATTGCCAGTAAACTTATTAGATGTCGACAATTCTAGGTAATCATAAATATACGGCGCGTATGTAATTAACGAACCAGATTAGTAATGATAAGTGACAGTAGCCCATTCTAAGTCATAGTAAGATTTTCCGCATGACAATATATTAGTGCGTCGAAAGTGGTTTAAGCTTCGCCGCGGTGGTCTAGTGGCTAAGGTACTCGACTGCTGACCCGCAGGTCACGGGATCGAATCCCGTCTGCGGCGGCTGCATTTCCAATGAAGGCGGATATGTCGTAGGCCTGTTTGCTCATATTTGGGGGCACGTTAAGGAACCCTAGGTGGTCGAAATTTCCGGAGCCCTCTTCTACGGTGTCTCTCATATTCATATGGTGGTGTTATGGCAATATGAAAACTAAAAAAAAATGTTGCTACTACTACTACTGCTACTAGTTCGTCTTTTTCTTTCTCTTTCTTTTCTTTTCTTTCTTTCCTTTGTTTTTCTTTCTTTTTCTACCTCTTTCTTTTGTTTTCTTTTCCCTCTTCCTTTTTCTTTCTCTTTTTTTCCTCTTTTTCTTTCCCTTTCCCTTTTGTTTTCTCTTTCTTTTTCCTTTTCTTTCTCTTTTTACTTTTTCTTTTTCGTTTTTATTTTCCTTTTTCTTTTCCTTTTCTCTTTTTCTTTTTTTCTTTTTGCTTTTTTGTTTTTTCTTTTCATTTTTCATTTTTCTTTCTCTTTTCTTCTTTCCTTTCCTTTCTTTATTTCTTTCTCTTTTTCTTCTTTACTTCTTTTTCTTATTCTTCTTCCTTTTCTTCTTCTTCTAATACAACTATACTACGACAAAGACGACTACACAGGATAGACTGAGGCCGTCCCTCTATGATGACTCTCAATATTGCCACTCGTGAAAATTTTCTAGCTGGCATGAAACATGGCTGTGCTGAAATGGGTGAATGTCACAAGGAAGGAGAAGAGATCTCGTTGACGTGCCTGATGCTCATACGAGAATCCTGTACAATATAATTGGATGTAGTCACTGAAGAACAGAGAAACAAATGATTTGATTTGAAATTTTGATCAAAAAAGAAATAACTTATCATCACTAATCTATATTGTGTAAAAAGAGTAGGTAGAATGTTAATGTTAAGAAAGTAAGTAGTTCATTATGGTATACGATGCATCCATTTTATGTTCCTGCATCTGTATTATGCTAAGTGTATTATATGTTGCTTTTTTTTTTTTTTTTTTATATTCCTGTATTTCTTTTGTTAGCGCTCATGTGGTACATGACATGTTAGTTTTTGTTGCTTGTTTGTATCTGCAAAAAAAAAATGCATCTGTGACGAACTACAGGTGCAGAGGCCTTTGTCAGGCGTATGAAACGCCTTTTGCTTCTGTATCCTTTTTCTTGCCTTTCAAGAAATAAAATAAATTACTACTACTACTACTACTAATAAGGCATCAGGTGTGTTTACCTCGTGTCACACGTCTGCCTCTTCCATGCCCATCATTTGAATCTACCGTGCATGCAGAGAATGTTATCACGAAGGAATGTTGTGTTTTTTTTTAAAGAGAAATGACAGCTCCTTTGTATACCATAATGTGGAATGCATTATATATTCTATTACGTCACCCGGAAGATAAAAATAACAGCACGTAAAATTACTTTATTACTTTACGTAAATTTCTTTAAAAATCTAACGTTTGCTACTGCGCATGATCACCGTGCGTCGCTTTCTTGCATAGACAGCATTAAACAAAGATAACACCATAAGGTGAAAAACTTTACGTCTGCGGTACTTCCTCAGGTGCACAGTGACTGCTGAACACTTGAAAGCCTTTTCATTCACATAAAATGAAGAAGCATCCAGTGCCATATTGTGATAGGCAAATGTAGTATATTGACTCTCATATGGAAATGCGAAACACCTCAATGCAAAGACAAAGAACAAGCGAGCGTGAAAGGAACAATAGAAGCTTGTTCTTGATATAGAGCCTATGAAAATGAAGTTTGAATCAAATGTCATCCAAATGTTACCACTTAGAGATATCTTTCTTCAAAAAATGCATTTATTTTGTTCGTGAGCCCAATGCTTGAGTGAACGTACGCATTCACTTTACATCACTCTTATTTTCGAAAATTATTTACTATGCGCTACTTGAACCTCTGGAGATCGCCAAATCACTGAATCGCAGTGCTAAAATGAATAATTAGAAAATACTTTGGTGTTGTAACCAATAATAGAATTTCTCATGTTCACAAATATCACCTCGCGAGCTAGGTAAGGCCCCACCGCTGTGGTCTAGTAGCTAAGGTACTCGGATGCTGACCCGCAGGTCGCGGGATCGAACCCCGGCTGCGGCGGCTGCTGCATTCCCGCTGGAGGCGGAAAAGCTGTAGGCCCGTGTGCTCAGATTTGGGTGCACGTTAAAGATCCCCAGGCGGTCAAAATTTCTGGAAAGCTACACTACTGTGTCTCTCATAATCACATGGTGGTTTTGGGACGTTCAACCCCACACAATAATCAATCAGTGAGCTGGGTAAACCTATATGATTAATTTCATTGATATGTGGGGTTTAACGTCTCAAAGCCACCATATGATTGTGAGAGACGCCGTAGTGGAGGGCCCCGGAAATTCAGACCACCTGGGGTTCTTTAACGTGCACCCAAATCTGAGCACACGGGCCTACAACATTTCCGCCTCCATCGGAAATGCAGCCGCCGCAGCCGGGATTTGATCCCGCGACCTGCAGGTCAGAGGGTAAGCCTATATGATTTCAAGAAAGTATGGCGACCCAGTGCAATGAGCGGCGAGTAGCCGGGAAGAATACTTCGTGTGTAATCACAAAATAAACTTAGTTCCGCAAGACAAGGAGCACACGCTAAAACACATCTATACCTTCGTATACCTCTTCTTGCAAGCTGCTATAAGGCTGCCACCGGTTTGTTGCTTCGAGGTGGCGGCACGTGACCAGCCACGTAGGGTGATTTTTAAGCGAAGATTTTATAACTCAAATATTGTAGTAGTGGGTATGCATGCACAAATTATTCACCGCTGGTGAGTGCAACAAAAAAAAAAGGGGGGGGGGGGGTCTGAAGGTGCGTCAATCGCTTGCGCCGCTTTCCAATGATTGTATTCTCTCGGTCGTGGACATGCTGGTGATCAGCCGTTCCTAACATGGCAACTTTATCTGTTGTTGGGGTCACTTGTCATTTCACGTTGACACATTGTCATTGTTGCCTGAACATGCACGCCGGATTGTCGTTGCTGGCTGTAGCAACTAAAGCGTTGCGCTCCTGTGCATGTAAATGAAAATTGAATTTCCGGCATGAAAGAAAAAAAAAGTAAAGAAGGAGCACTGAAAAGTGTAACAATTATTAATATAAAATGAAAAGAAATTACTCATTGGGATAGAAAGAAAAAGAATGAAGTAAAAAGAAAGGTAGTAGTTAGGCGCGCACATTTGCCTATGGGGCCCCAGAATTTCTGTAATGAACTTCGTCGGAAATACGGCCTCGACGTGTTTTCGGAAAATTTTGAGCACTCACTGGTAAAATTTTTCACTTGTAAGGTTAGTATGAAAGTAAAGAAAGAAGTTCGGATTCATAGCGCCGCCTCTTCGAAACTTGGGTCTGGGAACATCCGAATCAGTTCTATCATTTAGCGCCTCTACTCTGGGCTACAGTCACAGGGATGTTTACTATACACCATAGAGGAATTCATCAGCCAGACTAGAAGAATATTGAGTTAAATTGCTCATCCTTTAAAACTTTAAATAATAGTATTCAGTAATAATATTTGTTGTATTGTCTATCCTTAGTTTATACGAGAAGTAGTGCGAGGGAATATTGAAAAAAATCGCTTAACTCTCGGCCGATCTCCTGCATTGGGTAAGAGCCATGTGAAAAGGAGAAGAAGAAGGCGAAGATCGCCACAGGATTGTTCAGAGTATAGATCTCGTGGGCTTACCCTTTGCCAGCGAGTTTTTTACGTTGCAGAAGGCCTTTCAAAGGTGGATGCTTCAAGATCCTTAAGGAACGCGTACCTTTTTTGACAGTATTTAGAGTTCCATGGTTTTGTTCTTTCAGGCAAGATATCACTTTTCAAGATAGGAAATAGTTTTCTGGTCCCAACTCGGGTGGTATGAGAGGTCGGGTTGTCTTCACAATGCCCCTTAACGTCAGGCCGCTATGAATTGTCAGGCACACACAAACTTTTATGTCATGCAATTGTTCTTTCGCTCACTGAAGTTTGAGCTGGCACCAAGTCACTTGTCAGGTTTTCAATAAAAACACAAGCGGAACAAATTAAAAAGGAAGGCTGATGCTTGGCTCGTATTGAAGGTCACATCTGCCGTCACAACGCATTCGATGTGCGAGCGCGCCGCGGCGTGCAGTGCACGCCAGGAAAAAAAATGTTCCTGCAGCTTTTTACAGATGCTGTATTAGTACAACGCACGACGCTCTTCTCCACTGGCGCAGGTGCACACCCGCAACTGCGTGAACAGCTTCACCAAGTACGTGCAGCAGCAGTCCATCGCACTGGCCGTGGCGGGCATCGTGGTGCTGTGCGTGTTGGTGCTCATTAGAGGCATGGCGGCCCGGGTGCAGGCCGAGATTGAGGGCATCACGCGCCGCTACAACCGCCATCAGCGAAAGGCCGCGTACCGGGACCGCATACGCCAGGCCTGGTTGACGGCGGCGCACGTTTCGCCTCCCGCCATCAACCCAAACCGTGGCCCGTGCGTTGTATCTTCGATATAACGGGACACGAGTTGGTTCACACGCTGAACGACATTGTAGGACTGCTTTAGCTTCATCAAAATAGACCATCGACTTTGAACTGTCCTAAGATTTCTACGGCATGTACTGTAGTGGAGTGCCCTCTCTGACTTAGTTCTTCCTTTTGTAAGTTGGCGGGGTGTCCACCATGCATGTGTCTTTATTGGACAGCACACGCACGTTCACACGTTGGTTCTGTTGCTTGTAGTAAATTATGCCTGTGTTATTTGTAAATAATGGTGCTGTGGTAGCACACCTGCGTACGACGCCTTATTCCTGAGTTATATTCCCAGCTGAACAGAACATTTTTGTTTTTTCAATTCTTTCTAAAGTCCTAACTTTCAATCATGGACAACGCTGAATATTTCGCTGACAACATTCTACACTAACGCCGATGCTCGACGTTCTGCAAAACGAGCTCTTTAATGTTGTGGTGTGAATAAGGTTATTCCATTGCACTAGGTAGTTAGGCAGACAGACAGGCAGATGATAGATGGTACTAATTAAATTACAATATTATGTTGGCCTATTTCATTCACCACATACTCTGTCACCAACGTTTTCTTAAGTTCAGGCACTGCTGAAGACTATATATTGATCTCGACGGTCATGACACCTGGTGACAGAAGAAGCTCAATGCACGTCACCAATGTTAGCCATGTTTTCGTTGCGAACAGTGCAAATGTTAAAGTGGATCGGGTGGAATGTATTCATGCCTGTGCGTGGGCGCTGATAGCATGTATGACAATTTAGTTAGTAAGGTAAATGTTTGCCGCAGTTATAGGGCCGACAAAACTACGAAACATTGCTAGCATTGCTGACTGCATGTGCTTCGTCTTCTGACGAAAGAAGTTTTTGAGAAGCTCTTACTATTTCCCATCATACTTTTTCAGATATTCTGGTGTACACTATTTGTGAGGCTCAACTAAAAAATTAATTGCTTTGTGCAGGTCACCAGTACTTTCCGTGATGCCAACGCACGTGGTGTAGCCCGTCCTTGTCTATTCCCACTGAACAGTTCTTCGTAGTATTCTGTTGTGATGATTTTTGGAGATAACTGGTGGAAGACATTATTAACTTGCACAATCATTGTGGCTTACGTGACTCTTATCAAGTCATTACAATCTCTTATTGAATTATTATACCTGATTGAATGGTACTGTTAACTCGAACGTTTTGTGGTAATAAAACAATTCTCAAGTAGAGCACTTTGCGTGTACTGTTCGCTACTTGCGCATAGGCGGCAACGCTGCCACCGGACACGTAGTAGCGGTCACAACATTTGATTATAACTCTCATTGTCTGTAAATTACGCGTTAATTTGTCGCAGTCTGGAAATAAAGATTTATGTGGTGTTCTTGGGTGACGAAAAGTGGATTCTGGGGATGTTTTCACGACCTCACGACAAAAGGGCCTTAAAGGTTTGTTTAACGTGGCTCACATCAAACAGGTTAGCGCAATATCTTTTTAAGGTGCAGTTAAAAGAATTCATTATCTTTAACACGTTCGCTGCTACAGGCCAAAAAAATAGTTAATCGTTTTTCGTAGCCATGAGAAATTGCTCTTTCGTAGCCATGGGGAATTCCTCTCCGCTACGTCAACTCGGCAGGTATGTATGGGGACTGAGCCGGTGACGCCGCGGTGCGGGAGTGAACGAAAGGAATTGGCGTGCACCGTGCAGCAGCTAACCTTAGAGTGCATGGAGCCATGTCAGGTTGTTAGCGGTGCTTCGCAATCTCATGTGCGAATTTCTCTGTCATAAACTGTGCCAATAACTATAAGAACTACGCACTTGAAAAGAAGATTTTCAGTTTTCCGCCACGACTATGCTTTAGAAACGAGCAGGAACACTGGTTTAGTGTACGGTGCGTGAAGCGACTAATCCCGCACGCACCTTCATGAAGCACACGCTGTAGCTATCCCGCTAGCATTTTACTCTCCATGCATGCTGACTGGTATTTTTACCTTTCTGATAGAACCGAAGGGCTGAGGTCAAAGAGATTTTGTGTCTACAGTTTACAATTCGTTGGCGAAAAGCAATAGACAGATGCAGCGATTCTCCTTCGAGCACTGCTGATGTTTTTCAGCCGTATCGCAGTTTGCAAGCACTAACATTAAGGAATAACTCCCACATCCCAGGAAAAATGCCTCGCGGACGGCGATAATTTTAAAGTTTATTCCCGATATACAGCCTTAGCAGATAACAGCACTGTTTGTGCAAGCAAAGCTGCGCCACGCCATTATATCGCGTTACGGGACAGCTCACATACGAGCTGGCGCTGGACGAATTTACGGAAGGGCCTTTGAAGCCTGAGTAACGACTACACACTGAGCTAAACTACTGCACAGAGTTTGCGGAACTGTTACGCATTACTAAAAGGAACTCGCACGTGCAGTACGGTGACCGTACGATTAATTGCGCGCATAGCAAGGGATTGCTTATTACGTGTCAGAGACAAATGCCATCGGTTACTCAAGAACAATCAGGCAAGATTTTAAAAAATATGTTCACAAACACCGATGGTGACAGCCTATGCTTCAAGCTTTACGCTGGCTTGCCGCAAGAATCACCATTTCAACACATTCTGTCGCATGTCAGTGCTACGTCACATAGAAACATGTCTGATTTCGTAAATTCATATCATTTCTCTTCGTTTGGGCCTCCAAAATAATCGTGCTCAGATTTATGTGCACGTTAAAAAACACCAGGTGGTCGAAATTTCAAAAGTCCGCCACTATACCACGTCTTTCATAATCATATGATGGTTTCGGGATATTAAAGCCCACATATAAAAATAAATAAGTAAATAAATAAATAAAATAAATAAATAATAAATAAATAAATAAATCCAAAGAATCATTCGCTGTTAACTTTCTGCAAGCCTTCCCGTTTCATAAACCTGTCACCCTCACCCACACGAACTTGCGGACAACGCGGGCATAACCTGCCTGCCTGCCTGCCCACCCGCCCGCCCGCCTGGTTGTTTGCCTGCCTGCCTGCCTGCCTGCCTACGACTTCATAGGTTCCTGGCTGTTTCTTTAACAGAATCTCCACCGAAAAATTGGAACGGCATAACATGACCACATGACAAATGTAAGTGGAAGACCCTAACATGCAAATCAAAACATGCCTGTGATGAACAGCATGATCAACGTGGCACTTTCGCGGTAACTTTATATACATCGCAGTCAGTGTAACGTGCTAAGGGTGCATGATGTACATAAGTAACTGGTCTTAACATGCAAATCATGTCACGCATGCCATGTACAATATGATTTATAAGGTGTGGTCCTAAGTTTGTCATGGAAGTTTATTTGAATGAATATATGTCGACATTGCTATGACGAGACATATGTGCGTGACAAATGTAAATGCTATGGTAGCATGAAAATAATGACTTCCATGTCACGTATGGCATGGTCTACTGACTCATTACCACGCTCATGGCAGACTGGTGACCGGTTCGCCAGCTTGATATACACCTAAATTGGTATTGCATGATGTGACTTTATGGTGAACTCAAATTACAGGTGTAAACATGAAAATCATAACGTGCATTCGATGGTCTACATGATCTAAACGCCGCGCTAATAGTGTGCTCGCGGCCCGTTAGCTATCTGAATACACAACAAAAAATCGCAGCATATCTACGAGGTGAATGATGGTAAGTGGGGTGAAGCGAACGCATGGCCGGACGGACCGACGGAAGGACGGACGGACACACGGATGGATGGACGAATACCCGAACGCACGGACGAACGCATGGACGGACGCACATATGGACACAAGGGCGAATGCACGGATGGACGCACAGACGGACGGATAGACGCACGGATGGAAGCACGAGAGGACGAACGGACGCACAGACGGACGGACGGACGGACGGAAGCACGGACGGACGTATGGGCGGATGCACGGACTGACGCACAGACGGATGCACGGACTGACGCACAGACGGATGAACAGACGAACGCATGGACGAACGCTGGGACGGACGCATGGACGTGGGCACGAATGGCCGGACGCACGGATGGATGGACAGGCGCACGGATGAACGAACGGACGTATGGACAGACGGACGCATGGATGGACGTATGGGTGGATGGAAGCAAGAACGAACGGACGGAAGAAAGCGCGTACGGACTAACGGACGCTTAGCCCCACTCATCATTATTCACTCCATTGATATGCTGTGATTTTTATTATTTATCATATTACAAATAGCGCCCTATAGTATCGTAGCATTTGCATTTTTTAGGGTATATGCATTTCGTTATATGTACCAGTACCGCCCTCTACGGTCGGTTCAAGAACTAACGAGAGGTGGCTACATATGATTGCGACGGGACGCTCAGCCCCCGCCTTAAGGGGCTTCGCCCCTTGAACTGTGTTTTATCACGTGACTGTACGAACACCTAGGACAGGTGGTAACATGAAAGTGATGGCATGCATGATATGGGTGGCATGGGTTACATGCCTTGCTTCTGGAACACACGCGGCCGGTTTTGCTAAATACCAAGGTTAGAATTGTGAGAGTTAGCTAGATGACGAGCATGAATGACATGTGGGGACGAGAAACTTGCCAAATTTTCTTGTTACAACTATTCTTCTATATTCGTCATTCTTTATCGCGACACCATACCAATTCCGGTGTATATCAATATCGTGACCCGGCCGTGAGTGCAAAATAAGCGCTGCATGTATTTGATTGATTTATATGTGGGGTTTAACGTCCCAAAACCACCATATGATTATGAGAGACGCCGTAGTGGAGGGCTCCGGGAATTTCGACCACCTGGGGTTCTTTAACGTGCACCCAAATCTGAGCACACGGGCCTACAACATTTCCGCCTCCATCGGAAATGCAGCCGCCGCAGCCGGGGTTCGATCCCGCGACCTGCGGGTCAGCAGCCGAGTACCTTAGCTACTAGACCACTGCGGCAGGGCGCTGCATGTATTTCATGGCTTACATGACATGCATGCCATATTTTCTTCTTATAACCTGTAATTAATGTTCGTCATGCAGTCACATTATGCATTGCCAATTTAGGCGTATGTGAAACTATCAAACCGGCGGCAAGCCTACCAAGAATATGACATGCAAATTACGCCGCCACTGACATGCGTATCATAAGTTTTGTGCTAAAACTTGTAATTTCTGTGCGTCATCTCATGTTTTACCAATGTCGATAAATATCAACTATGCCAACAGGCCGCGAGGACTCCATGAGGGTGGCACGTAAATCAAGCTGTACATGAAATGAAGGTCGCGATTTTCATGTTACCGCCTGTCATTCATATTCATCCTATAGATTGATATTGTCGTAAAAATTTCGGCACATATACATTTCAGCAAACCACTGCCAGTGTACCGAAACACTAGTGAGGCGAGCAAGCTGGATCATTTATGTGGCGAGGTCCACCGATAGCATGTGGCAGCGAGAGAAAACGAACGCAATACTTTCGTCGTTGCAGTGACTAATTGGTTCAGTGCACTGCTGCGCCACCTGTAGGTGCTGCACATTTACCGTAGGCGATGGTATAACAAAATTTGCCTTGTATATAAGCACCGCGCAAACATTTGTTAATAATTATTGGGGTCTGGCGTCCGAAAACCAGTGCATAATTACGAGAGCGCCGTGCTGAATGGCTCCACATATTTCGGCGGCATGCGGCTCTTTAATTTATAGCTAACACTGACTACACGGGACTGCAGTATTTTAGCCTTCACTGAAAATGCGGCCGTCGGGGCTGGGATACTTCCTGTGACCTTTGGGTCAGCAGCCAAGAACCGCAACCAGCCTTTCACCTCGGCGGTTAAAGCTCACGAGGAGGAGGAAGAGGAATAAAAGTTTATTGTTCGAAACGGTATAGCGGGGCAGGTTCCGCTTCAACCCTAAGTGGGAGGTCTCCTCATTCCAGGAACCCTCTGACATTCGCGGGCTCCTTGGCCCTGGCGGCGAGACGTCGTTGTTGGTCCAGGTACTCCGAGGCGAGCTTTACCTCCCATGGTTTGAGAAGGTGTTCGTTTCCTTGAACAGCGTCACAGGTATTCAGCAGTGGGGATGTGTCTGTATATGTATTGCTTAAGAAGCGGTCTACGTGAACAGCCCTTCGCGAAACCCTTCGCAAGACCGTTCTAGACCACGCTTCCAAGCTTGCCCATGCTAATCCTGCTGGGGTGTTCTTGGCTAAGGATTGAGT